GACTTTTTATACAACACACAAAATATTTGAAGACGAGGCTCCGGAAAACAATACAAACTATTTTTGTTTCCCCTTAGACTGGTCCTCAATTTCCCACACAATTGGATAGAATGTTTCCGCGAATTACTATCATTTTCCACATAGTTCCCATCATATCCCGGCCATAACCAATTAGCTTCTTGTYTTACAMTGYTAATCTGAAGACAATTTTGAGAAAGCAAGTTGATTAAKTTTAGTACTCGTGTTACCAATCTTAAATATTTCTTACAGGTTTGAATTTCTGAAAGATTCTCCAAGCAGAAGTTGGCATGACAAACCATATATTACGACTACTCCTGTGCAGTGCCGTGCTAACTACTACATCCACACCAGTGGCTCTGTATGTGCGCAAATTATTGATCAAGACAGTGCAATGGATTTYGAAAATGAAAAAGTAGGGATTTATTGGACTAACAACTTTACACTGACAAAGAAATGGCGCTCTTCGTCTACAGGTGATGGAGATTTTGCTACCAAACTTTTTTCTGATTTTGGACGGTTTTGTTCAAACACATGTGGTTCCCTTGAAGCATTCTGTAAACGTGTCCAAGAAAGTGTTCATGCTGATTAAACTTTCATCTAATATCTTGAAAGGTGTCAATCGTTGTTTCCTTTTTGTGTGTGCTCGACTTAAGACACTTATGCGGACCTTTATATTGAAACACACCAGTAAGTGGGKTAAGCTCTGCACAGAGAAGTCTTCATGAAATYGCTAGTTCTTTGAAAATACAGTCGAACCTCTATTAAGCGGCCCTCTATTAAGCGGTCACCCTCTATTAGGCGGTCACCTATTAACTTCCCGAAATTTGACTGTAAACATTTAGTGTAAACTTGACCTCTATTAAACGGTCACCTCTATTAAGCGGACGCGGTCACCCTTTTGACTTTCTCAACTGAGGACATTGAGCATTTTCATTGTTAATTGCCTTTATTAAACGGTCACCTCTTGTAATCAGGATTAAAATCAACAGGGAACGTGAAAAATATTACGAAAACATGAAATGAAAAATGTCAGTTTACATTGTAATTCTGTAGTTGCATTACTAGAGTAGGCGTCGAATTCTACTGTACTCACTGTGTACAGTATATTTATTTTATAAACTAAAATTATCAACCTTGTATTTAGCGTTTATATTCCTTAAAACTACACTACGTGATGAGTTTCGTATTGCGCTTTCCATTTGTCAGAACTGGCTGGCCAGACCCAGAGAAATGCCATTATATATCATTCCCATTTAGTTTAATTCAAATTGTAAAATTCTATCCATTATTCTACAGAAAAACCTCGAAATGACTGAAAAATGTTGACAAAAAGCATTATATACCTYTAAATAGAGTGGACTGGCCGGCCAGTTCTGCCTAAATGGAAAGCACCCGTACTTTTTTACATTTTTTGACACGTA